TGATGGGTATTAAGGAGGGCATGTACTGCATGGAGCACTGGGTGTTATACAAAAACAATGGATCGTGGATCACTACATCAAAAACTAATGATGTACTGTATGGTGATTAACGTAACATAATAAAATTAAATTAAAAAAAAAAAGAAAGTGGTGCCTCTTTCAATCTTCACAACCACTCATGAGTTTCATCAGTATTATCCCCCATTTTACAGATGAAGAAACTGAGGCACAGGAGGGTGGGTATTCATTTTGTCCACAGTCACACATCTAGGAAGGGGCCAGGCTGGGACTGAAACTGGGGAGTAGAACCCTAGAGCCCACACTCATACTCACTGCTCTATACTAAATCCCAAGAATGCAGAAGATGGAACAGCCAACCCCGGGAAGTCATCCTAGTAGGAGGTCACACTGAAGCTGGGTATTTCCACAGGCAGCAAAGATGAGGGAGCATGAGCTGGAGGTAAGAACCTTAGGTGTAAAGGCAAGAAAGTGCCAAAAGGATAAATTTGGGGAACAGTGAGAGGCTGGTCCGGGGTGACAGTGAGAGGAAGCTGGAGGGGTAGCCAGGGGCCAGGCCTTGCAGAGCCCTGTAAGCCATGCAAATGAGGTTGGACTTTCTCCTAAGTGTAGCACCACTGAAAGGTTATAAACAGGAGAATGACATCAACAGATGGGCATTTCTGAATGAAAATTTGGACACATGGTGGAAGCTGGATCAGAGGCAGGGAAAACAGTTGGGAGGCCCTGATAATAATCCAACAAAGGAAGGACAGAGCCTGTGAACTAGGGCAGCCGTGGCACCACATCTGCAGTCCTGAGGCCCCTTAGCTCAGCCTATGCTCTCTAGACAGCATATGGGTTTATTATAGCCAGGCTCATTCAACAAACGCTGCTGATTTCAGAAGGAAGAGACAGGCTAGGCATGAGTCTTTGTAGACTGAAATAAAGGGCAACTTGACTGCAAGAAACAGGGATTCGGAAGCCCTTGTGTGAGTACGAAAACAGAGCCTGGGTAGTTGTTTTCTCTCTGTGGAATTTGTGCAATGGAGCCAAGAAAATAAAGTACAGTACAGTGTGTGGGCTGCAGACGCCCACCTCCAAGCTGCACGAGCTGCACATGATTCTTCCACCAATCCACAGTTCCCATCCTGACACAGTTAGAGATTTGAATGAGTCTGGAAGAGGGAGGAAAGGGAGGAAAACCACTCCGAATCCTGCCCATTCCCTCCACTGCCAGATCAGGTAGACCAGAAACCCTCCACTGTGTTCTGTCTTCTCTCTGATTGCTGGTAGAAGCCAGTGAAAAGGCCTCAGTATAAAGGGCCCTGAAGCAGCACAAAGAGGCTAACAGGAAACAGGAAAGGACAGTGGATTTCTACTGCACCCATTAGACAGGCTCTCACAATCTCCCTCTTGAGTTTACTCCAAGACACATAAATAAAACACACACCCAAGGAAATCAGAAGTTCAACTTCTCTCTCTAAATAGCTATTAATGGGGCACCTGGCTGGCTCAGTTGGTCCTGGGATCGAGTCCCACATCTGGCTCCCTGTTCTGTGGGGAGTCTGCTTCTCCCTCTCCCTCTGCCCCTCCCCCAACTCGTGCGCTTGCTCTCTCTCTCTCAAATAAATAAAATCTTTAAATAAATAAATAGCTATTAAGAAGTTCATCAGTAAGAGTCCAGTTGATAATTATAATGCAAAAGATAATTACAGACAATCAATTCTTTGGTTAAGAACTTGGGCCTTAGAAAAAAGACTGAAAAAAGAAGCACCTGAACACAAGAACCAAGAGATTCAGAAGCCCTTATATGAGTGTGAAAACAGAGCCCAGCTTGATTGTTTTCTCTCTGTGGAATCTGTACTTGGGAGTCATATTAGTCAATTTTGTAACTTTGGGGTAAACAAGTGGAAACTCCTAAAATTATATGAAATATTAGTATATATGGTCAAAAGTTTTATTTTTCTGGGGGTTGAAAGATCATTCTCATTAGTCAAATGTACAGCAAATATTAAGACACAATTTTCTAGATGGTGGAACTTTGGGAGATTTTTTTCTTGCTTCTTTAACATGACTTTGAAGTTTCTAATTTTCTGTATTAAATACTTAGAACTTCAATAAACAAGGGGGAAAAAAACATGTGAAGAAAGACCATGGCCTCAAAAACAAAACCTATGTTTTAAGAAAGTTCCCTTATAGGGGCGCCTGGGTGGCTCAGTCGGTTAAGCGTCTGCCTTCGGCTCAGGTCATGATCTCAGGGTCCTGGGATCAAGTCCTGTGTTGGGCTCTCTGCTCTGCGGAAAGCCTGTTTCTCCCTCTCCCTCTGCTGCTCCCCCTGCTCTTCTCTCTGTCTGTCAAATAAATAAAATCTTTAAAAAAAAAGAAAGTTCCCTTATAGGAAATTGTAAACCTGTATAAGTCACGCAGACTTGTCAAATCCGATCTTAAGTATTTCTTACAGACCAGCAGAAATTACTGCACTAAACTAAGGCTTCAGCTTAAACAGACTCTGAAAATGGTAGCAATAATAGTTACTACTGTGTGTCAGGACCTCTGCTAAGGGTTTGCACACATTATTTCATTTGATCCTTGTAACAACTCCAGAAGGTAGATATTATTTCCATTTTACAAATTAAAGAACTGGCATTTCAAAAGGTATTTGCATATAGCTAGCGACAGACAGGGCTGGGATTTGCATCTTGGCCTAACTATAGACCGCATTTCATTTCTCATAAATCCCTGTGTAATTGAAACCTCACCCTAACTAATGACCTTGATAAAAGTATTCCCAAACAAGGCTTTGGTCCAAATTCTAAGGACAACTTAGTACATAAGACCTAGGCAAGCAAGAACCAAGAGGGATGAGATCTTGTCAAGTTTATTTGCCAAAATATCCTCGACACCAAAGCTCTTGGCGTATAACAAGCACTTAAAAAATACTTGTTGGAGCAAAAAAAAAAGGAAGGAAGAAAAGGGGCTTTCTCTTGAT